CAGAATCTTTGTGTCATTTGACCAGTTTATCGGTTTGAACTTCAAGTGTTTATTTTATAAGAAAATGTTATAATAGGTTGTTATGTTTTAAGTATTATATATGTATTATTGGTATAAGTTTTGTTTTATATAATATGTTAAGGGACATCTCTCCAGTTTAAAGTTTGGGTCCTGGCCAGACCCTGATTTTAACTTGGACAGATGAGTTTGCCAGCAAAATTCAGAGGTTTCTGCACAAAAATGAATGATATGCAGGTCATTTTTGACCCATCAATTTGATTCTACAAATGTTACAGCTGACACAGCTTTGAGGTGAAACTTGCCAGCCTTGCCCGGGAAAGGATGCCAAGGATTTTCACTGAAAACAAATGTTTCAGCTGTTTGCAGACTCTGAACCGTTGTCACAATGTTTCTAATGATCGTGCTTTGTTCATTTTTATATATGCTATTTAGAATATCTTTCTTTTGAATTTTCTTGAATTGTTATCGATTTTGATAAGTTTTATGCATTTTATCATTGAGGTATTTTGTCTTGTTCTATATTATGGTTTACATTTCAACTTTCTTGTTTCAAAAGAGAAGAAGAGAAAGAGAGAAAAAAGGAAAAAGAAAAAAGAAAAGGAGTGAAGAAGTGCCTGAAATAAGGCTGAAATGAGGTTGAAGATTTTGTATGTTTTAATCTCTTGATATAATTATTTTGTAGACTTGATTTTGCTGATCATTGAGAAAAATATGAGGAGAGTGCTAGACACTGGACAGACAAAATTGAAAGAAAAAAAAAAATCGTTCAAATAAGTAGCTTTGAGTAAGGATTTTGTTAATGTTTTCACGGAAGTTGAAAGTGAGGTTTTTTAGTTTGCAGACCCTCAAAAACAATTCTTACAGATTTAGAGATGGGAGCTCAGATCATTATTGTGGCAGAGACCAGATTGCTGACAATGTCAGGGAAAGATTTCTTAATCATTCATTTACATTTAAAGAAGAAATATTTTGAGTGGACAATCCAAAGTCGCAGGATTTTTCAATCATGTTGTTAGGGCATTCAAAAGTTCGCACAGTTCGTTTTCCAGCACACAAAATGTTAAATGTAAAAATGAGTTTCAGGGAAAAAACCAAAAAAGAAGCCAAGAACCAATGGAAGAAATGACAGTATTCACTGATGGTTTGGGAAAAAACTCACAAATCAGTGGTCACATGGAAAAATTTAAAAAAAAAAAAAAAAAACAAAAACAGGGAAATGGGAATCAAATATCAAAATGATACAAGGTTCACCACAAGTTGAAAAATTGGTAACAATAGTCAGGGTTTTTCAGTTATTCCAGGAACCCTCAATCTGATCACAAGTTTAGTGTATGTTGCAAATGTGGTCAAACAATTAGAGAAATCGCTTTTAAAACATACAGACAAGGAAATTTTATATTCATATCTATTATGCATGAAAATAATCCTAGAAAAACAGAGAACATTAATAAACACATCAGAATGCATTCTTCACCTCCGAGGTTTTTAGTAAAAGAGAATGCTCATGTAAATAGACTCACAATGCCCATCTTGCAGACACTGCCAAACATTTTTGAGCAGGCAAAATTGAGCCATGCATGTTTTTACAAAAATGCACAGGCATTGATGGGAACCTTTCACCTTTCTGAAAACCAGACAAAAGAAATCTGCTTGCCAGAGAACCAGTTTGTGCAATCTCCTGTATTTACAGGAGTGGTTAATCTGAGAGGTTTGTAAAAGCCTTCAGCTGTGGCAAGCTGATGTCACAAAATACCCATCTTTTGAGAGGCTCGAAAATATCCATATTTCAATTGATACATTTTTAGGGGCGATTTTTGCATCATTACATACAGGGGAGACCACAGAACATACCTGCAAACATTTTTTATAAGCATTTACATCATTAGGAGTGCAACAACAAATAGAAACAGATAATGGTCCAATTTACACAAGCAAGGTGCTTGACAAATTTTTGAAAAAACAGAGAGTCAAACATATTTTCAATATTCTTCATTCTCCCTCAGGTCAAGCAAGCAAAGAACACATCACACCCTGAAATCCACTTGGATGGACAGAAAAGGGATGAGGCAGGGTTGAACAAATGTGTTGAATTTTTTAAATGGTTTTTTCTCAAAGCCCACTCTACTAATTGTCAGATATGTTACAAACAGCCCACAGGAAAAACTAAGGGAAAATCCTTTCGTTTTAATCAGAAGTCCAGAGTAAGGACAGATTGAAGGTTCATTTACATTAATAACTTGGGGCGAGGGTTTCGCTTGTGTTTCTATAGGACGAGGACTGAAGTGAATGCCAGCGAGGCACATGTAACCTTATCGGGTGCAGACGTCAGTGGACGTAGACCCGAGAAGCAGAGAAGCAAGCACGCAAACGAAGGCAGACAACAACGTTGCAGACGTCTCATCGGACAACGATTGATCACCCAGAGACTTGGGGTTTTTTCTGGGAAATCAAGTGTTGTTTGGGTGTTGCTGCATTGCGGGGTTTCTCACAGAGGGTGGGGACATGGACATGGGATTCAGACAGATAGTGTTCATGTGCTTCATTCTTTCACCTGTTGCCTTGGGCAACAGGACAGATTTTCCCATGAGACAACCCAGGGAAAAAGTGTGGGAGACTTTGGCGAAAGCAGCAGGTCTGGACAGCATTTGCCTGACCCATTCGAAACCAGAGAAACCATTTTCAACATGCTTGGTAGGTGTGCCAGTGGAGGGATGGTCAGTCCCAGGGGACATCCTTCCAAGGGTTCTGAAGTTTTTTTCGGATCCTGTGGAGGGATGACATGTTTGGACACAATTCCTTCCTGTGGCTCACTTTGAACCTCTGGATTTGGACATTTTGGGTCAACAAAAATGAAATGGTGCATCAAATTTAATTCATCAGGAGTGGCAAAGACAGGTAATCATACAATAGATGTCACTCCGAATCAATCTTTTTATAAAAATGCGTCATCTTGGTGCAATCATACCAAAATGACAAGCAAACCATCCTTTCAACATCCAGCCACTTTACTGAAGGGAATGTTTTTCATTTGCGGGGACAGAATTTGGCCTGCTATCCCTGCAAAAATCAAGGGTGGTCCATGCAGCTTCGAAAGATCTTTTGTTAACACACAGCATGACCTTGATAAGAGAGCAAGGAGAAAAAAATCTGAGGAATGAAATGATCCAAATTGTGACAATGATAATGTTAATACCAAGAAAAAAGGCTCGGAAAAACTGAGTGGTTCTGCTTTCACAGCAGGTGGCATCAAAAAGAGCCTTGGTGCAGTTGGATCAAAAGAGGTTGTGGGCAGAGTAAAGATGCCCATGTCATTTCTTTTGCATCGAATGATTTGTTAGCTAGCAGTGAGAAATGAGAACAAAACAGTAATTGAACATCTATTGTAAACACATGGACACACGAGTGAAAATTTAAAGAGATATCAGAGGACCAAACACACCTGGAGAAAAATTAAATCATAAATAGATGGTGTGTTCAATTTGTTTCACCTTTCACAGTTGTAGAAAAGAGATTTTGAAAATAGTTGTATGTAATTACAAAATATTGTAATTCTTCTGATGTTTGTGCTGTCCTTGCCTCAGTGCATGAGGCAGACCATGGACAAAGTTGTCAAAGAGATGATCTTGGTTCAAAAAGGAAAGGATCCCTTGAACAATATAGTTCAAATTATGATGATGATGTTTCTACCTGGGACAAGTCTCGGAGAATTGCAGTAGCAATTTTCTCATTCCAAGCAGCATCAGGGGCGGCCTTGACACAATTGGATCATATAGCATGTTGGTTGAGGAAATACAGTCATGCCATTTCGTTTGCACTGAGTGACATGTTAACAGACATCAACAGTGCAAGGCAAGCAGTGCTTCAAAACAGGGCGGCAATTGATTATTTGCTGCTGACACATGGGCACGGATGTGAGGAATTTGAGGGGATGTGCTGCATGAACTTGTCCGATCATTCAAAATCCATTCATAAAAATATAAAACAAATACAAAGTAATATTAGCAAATTGAACAAAGTTACAGAGTCCTGATGGGATGATTTGTTTAGCTTTTTTGATATCTCACCATTGTTGAAAGAACTTTTGAAAATAGCATTTTATATTCTTATAGGACTTGTAGTTCTTCTGCTTGTTCTACCATGCATTTTCGTGTGTATTTGAAAGACCTTGAACAGCATGATAAAGCGGGTGTTTCTGGTTCAAACAGAGAGGGGAGATGTCAGAACTCAAAATGTCCCTCAGACATTTTTAGAGGTTCCAGGCCTTGGTCAGAAGCATTTTAGACCCTGGCAAGCAGCTGAGAACAGCTGTGATCTTGAGTTTGAACCATGGAATGAATTACCAGCTTTAAAGGTGGAACAAGCAGTCACAGAGGGTTAGATGATATAGTAAAAGTAGTCACAAATTAGAGGGTAAAATTTTTAGTATTGTACAGGGGGGTTTTAACACCTGTACAGGGGGGTTTTACTTTGTACAGGGGGGTCAGGAGTTCTAAGATGGAGGAAAGTGGACCTGATCCTGTTCTTCCTCCTTCTTCTTCCTTACCTCCATGTTCTTGGTGATGTTGGCATTTTTCTATTGGTTTAGGCTAGGGACACACTATTCAACGTAGATGATAGATATTGGCACATTATTGTAAATATAGTACACGTAATTTCTGGTATATAATGTTTGTACCATCCCACTGAGGGGCAGAGCCCCGCACACTGCCCTGCAGGACAGACCTGCGGCAGGGCAGCAGAACATGTTATAGATAAGCAAAAATAAACAACCTTGAAAACAGGACAGACGAACCATGGCTTCTTCTTTGGCAACGGGGCAGAAAGACAGAGACTTTCTACAATTTCGGAATCACCAATACCCACAGATTCCGACAGCTTAGATCCTGTGTTCAGGAGAAATTCTTCCCTGTGAGGGCAGGGAGTCCCTGGCACAGGGTGCCCAGAGCAGCTGTGGTGCCCCTGGAGCCCTGGAAGTGCCTAAGGCCAGGTTGGAGGGGGCTTGGAGCAGCCAGGGACAGGGGAAGGTTTCCCTGCCATGGCAGTGGTGGCAGTGGATGGAGCTCAAGGCTCCTTCCAAGCCAATCCATTCCATGATTCCAAAGATTGACGGCTCTGAGACAGAGTCATTTGGTGACATCATGGCCTGAACTGCTGTTTGCTGCGAGTTCTAAAGCACCACCACGGTGACACAAGCAATGCTACAGTGACATGAGAAGGACCACTGTGACATCGGCAGCACCACTGTGACACAGGAACTGCCACAGCTCCAGCTCAGGTCTGCATCCCAGGTGACTGCAGCCAGTCCTGCCTCGCCATGGACCTGGTGATGCGTCTCGTGCGCGCTCTGCTCCTGCTGGCCCTGCTGCTGGCAGTAGCCCCCTCCCCGAGAGTGGCCAAGGAGCTCTGCCCAGAGCCCTGCCGCTGCCCAGGCCGTCGGCAGCTGAACTGCGGCCACGCCGGCCTGGCCACCGTGCCCCCGGCCAGCCGCCGCCGAGCCCTGACCGTGCTGTGAGTCCCGCGGCCCCACAGAGCCCTGCAGCTGCCCCTCCTCAGCTCCCTGTGTCTGCAAAGCCCACCTGGGACACCCGGGGCACTCCCTGGCCACAGATGGGGGGGCCTGAGCTCGGCATCAGGGTGAAGCCAGGCTGGGCACACTGTGCCTTCTCCAGGCAAAGCCCGCTTCCAGCTCAGCAGGCCAATGGCAGGGAAATGGCTTTTCCTGAGGGGGGACCGGGTCTTTTGTCTCTTTGCAGAGATTTCACTGGCAACTCCATTGCTACTGTTGGAAAACAAGCCTGGAAGGACTACCCATGGACTGAGACCTTGTAAGTGCCCTGCAGCCTTTCAAATGGCAGGAGTTTGTGGATTTTGCCTCCTTTGGTCTGGGGCTGGAGCAGCTGCCCCCACTCCACCCACTTCCATTGGAATTCAAAGCTCGGCTGCTCTGCAAGGAGGGCTGTGAATCACCACAGCTTCCCAGCAGGGCAAGAATTGCTGCGAGTCTCTTGCAGCCCAGGGCACCATCCCCGTGTCTGTCTGCCCAGGGATCAAGCTGTGCTCAGCTTCAGCCGGCCAGGAGCAAGGGCCTGCTCTGGCCAGGAGTGGGGACGATCCCTGCAGTGACCCAGAGCGATGCTTCAGTCGTGCTGCTGCAGGAGATTTTCCCAGGACGATCCCATTTGCTGCAGGCCAGTGGCCGCTGTCACAATGTCCCTGTGTCTCCTTGCAGAGTGCTCAGAGACAATGAGCTGCGGGCTGTGAAGAGCCATTCCCTGGAGGGGCTGTTCCTGCTGAAGCACCTGTAAGCACCGTGCCCTGCCCAGGGCGGAGGGCTCCCTGGGGCCCTGCTGCTCAGGCCGCGGGCACATGGTGCCCTTTGTCCCTCCTGGGATGCAGGCTGCAGAGGCAAGTAAAAGGGACAGGGCAAATGGAAGTGACATTTGTTGTTCTAACTGCAACAGGGATTTGTCCTGCAACGAGATCCTGTCCATTGAGGAACGGGCTTTTGAGCCACTGCCTTTCCTGAAGTTTCTGTGAGTGATCAAGTTTCTTTCTGGTGTCTTCAGCTCAGCCTTTGCACTGGGCAGCCTTCCTGTGTAGGAAAATGCTCCTGTTCCCCTAAATCTGCCCTGCCCAGAGCCCAGCTGAGCTGCAGAGGTCAATGCCGACGGCTGGAAGGCCACGCCAGGGCACAGACCCCAGGGAGCTTGTCCACACGCAGCCATCAGAGCAGCCAGTTCTTGCAGCCTTGGCTGCATCGTGGAACAGAAAGAGAGTTCAGCCTTTGCTTCCTCTCCTGGGCAGGCTACAAATACTGAGAAAGCAGCAGTTTCCTCCCGTTTCCACCTTGGCTTTGCACCTTTCCTGCAAAGAGATCCCGCTTTGCCCCCTCTTTCTGTAGGGCAGGCCCGATTCCTGTGTGTGACCTCCTCTTTCCCCAGAAATCTCTCCGGGAATGGCCTCACACAGATCCGCAGCGGCACTTTCCAGGCCTGGCATGGGATGCAGTTCCTCCAGGAGCTGTAAGTGGCACCAGGGCTAAAGGCCCGCCAGGGCGAGTCTCTGCAGGGTCTCTGCCGGGTCTGTGGGCAAAAGCAGACTTGCCCTGGGGAAAGTCCTGATTCTGACAGTGGATGTCAGCCAGGGAGCACCAGGAGTGTGCAGCTGCAAAGGCCCTTTCTCCTGCCCTGCTCACCTCCTGCAAGGCTTCCTTGAAAGCCGCCAGGCCGTCCCCACGTGCCCGGCACACGCAGCTCACATCCTCACCATCAGCCCTGACAGAGCTCTGTATTTTCTCAGGATCCTCAGCCACAACCCACTGGCTGTCATTGCTGACGCTGCCTTCTTCAAGCTGCCCTCCGTGAGCTCTCTGTAAGTATTGGCTCATCTGGAGCAGATCCACAGAGACCTGTGTCTCTCTCGAGCGCCCTGTTCTCAGGGGCGGTTCCTGATGTCAGTTTGTAGGGCTCCTCTGGGACTGTCAGGGCAGCACAAGTATGAGGTGGGGGCAGCTCCGATCTGGGACTTATCCTTCGATGTTCGGATTTTTTGCAGTAAGCTGCCGGATCAGAGCCACAGGGCCCTGAGCAGAAACATCGGCTGTTTTCCCTGGGAAAGAAAACTCACCAGTCCAGGTTCCTCATGTCAGTTTGTAGGGCTCCTCTGGGACTGTCAGGGCAGAACAAGTATGAGGTGGGCACAGCTACTGCGTGGGGCCCATCCTTCGATGTTCGTATTTTTTGCAATCAGCTGCCTGCTCAGGGCCACAGGACCCTGAGCATAAACATCGGCTGTTTTCCCTGGGAAAGAAAACTCACCAGTCCAGGTTCCTGATGTCAGTTTGTAGGGCTCCCCTGGGACTGTCAGAGCAGCACAAGTATGAGGTGGAGGCAGCTCCTGTATGGGACTTATCATTCGATGTTCGGATTTTTTGCAATCAGCAGCCGGCTCAGAGCCACAGGGCCCTGAGCACAAACATCGGCTGTTTTCCCTGGGAAAGAAAACTCACCAGTCCAGGTTCCTGATGTCAGTTTGTAGGGCTCCTCTGGGACTGTCAGGGCAGCACAAGTATGAGGTGAAGACAGCTCCGGTCTGGGACTTATCCTTTGATATTCAGATTTTTTGCAGTAAGCTGCCGGCTCAGACCCACAGGGCCCTGAGCAAAAACATCGGCTGTTTTACCTGGGGAATAAAACTCACCAGTCCAGGTTCCTGATGTCAGTTTGTAGGGCTCCTCTGGGACTGTCAGGGCAGCACAAGTATGAGGTGGAGGCAGCTTCTGTTTGGGGCCCATCCTTCGATGTTCGGATTTTTTACAATCAGCAGCCGGCTCAGAGCCACAGGGAACTGAGCACAAACATCGGCTGTTTTACCTGGGGAAGAAAACTCACCAGTCCAGGTTCCTGATGTCAGTTTGTAGGGCTCCCCTGGGACTGTCAGGGCAGCAAAAGTATGAGGTTGGGGCAGCTTCAGTATAGGGCCCATCCTTAGATATTTGTATTTTTGCAATCAGCTGCCTGCTCATTACCAGAGGACCCTGAGCAGAAACATCGGCTGTTTTCCCTGGGAAAGAAAACTCACCAGTCCAGGTTCCTGATGTCAGTTTGTAGGGCTCCTCTGGGACTTTCAGGGCAGCACAAATATGAGGTGGAGGCAGCTTCTTTATTAGGCTCAGTTCTCGATGTTTGGATGTTTTGCAATCATGTGCCTGCTCAGGGCCAAAGGACCCTGAGCAGAAACATCGACTGTTTTCCCTGGGAAAGAAAACTCACCAGTCCAGGTTCCTGATGTCAGTTTGTAGGGCTCCTCTGGGACTGTCAGGGCAGCACATGTATGAGGTGGGGGCAGCTCCGGTCTGGGACTTATCCTTCAATGTTCAGATTTTTTGCAGTCAGCTGCCTGCTCAGGGCCACAGGAGCGTGAGCAGAAACATCGGCTGTTTTCCCTGGGAAAGAAAACTCACCAGTCCAGGTTCCTGATGTCACTTTGTAAGGCTCCCCTGGGACTGTCAGCGCAGCAAAAGTATGAGGTTGGGGCAGCTTCTGTATGGGGCCCATCCTTCGATATTTGTATTTTTGCAATCAGCTGCCTGCTCATTGCCAGAGGACCCTGAGCAGAAACATCGGCTGTTTTCCCTGGGAAAGAAAACTCACCAGTCCAGGTTCCTGATATCAATTTGTAGGGCTCCTCTGGGACTGTCAGGGCAGCACATGTATGAGGTGGGGGCAGCTTCTGTATGGGGCCCATCCTTCGATGTTCGGATTTTTCGCAATCAGCTGCCTGCTCAAGGCCACAGGACCCTGAGCAGAAACATCGGCTCTTTTCCCTGGGAAAGAAAACTCACCAGCCCCGGTTCCTGATGTCAGTTTGTAGGGCTCCTCTGGGACTGTCAGGGCAGCACAAGTATGAGGTGAGGGCAGCTCTGATCTGGGACTTATCCTTCGATGTTCGGATTTTTTGCAGTTAGATGCCGGCTCAGAGCCACAGGGCCCTGAGCAGAAACATCGGCTGTTTTCCCTGGGAAAGAAAACTCACCAGTCCAGATTCCTGATGTCAGTTTTTAGGGCTCCTCTGGGACTGTCGGGGCAGCACAAGTATGAGGTGGGGGCAGCTTCTGTATGGGGCCCATCCTTCGATGTTCGGATTTTTTGAAATCAGCTGCCTGCTCAGGGCCACAGGACCCTGAGCATAAACATCGGCTGTTTTACCTGGGGAAGAAAACTCACCAGTCCAGGTTCCTGATGTCAGTTTGTAGGGCTCCTCTGGGACTGTCAGGGCAGCAAAAGTATGAGGTGGAGGCAGCTTCTGTATGGGGCCCATCCATCGATGTTTTGATTTTTTCAATCAGCTGCCTGCTCAGGGCTACAGGAAGCTGAGCATAAACATCGGCTCTTTTCCCTGGGAAAGAAAACTCACCAGTCCAGGTTCCTGTTCTCAGTTTGTAGGGCTCCTCTGGGACTGTCAGGGCAGAACAAGTATGAGGTGGGGGCATCTCCGGTCTGGGACTTATTCTTCGATGTTCGGATTTTTTGCAGTCAGCTGCCTGCTCAGAGCCACAGGACCCTGAGCAGAAACATCGGCTGTTTTCCCTGGGAAAGAAAACTCACCAGCCCCGGTTCCTGATGTCAGTTTGTAGGGCTCCCCTGGGACTGTCAGGGCAGCACAAGTATGAGGTGGGGGCAGCTCCTGTCTGGGACTTATCCTTCGATGTTCCGATTTTTTGCGGTCAGCTGCTCGCTTAATGCCACAGAACTCGGAGCGCAAACATCGGCTCTTTTCCCCCAAGGAATTCCAGGGCCACAGCAACACAGGTAGAATTGGGCATCTCTTCCCCTTTCTGTTTAAAGGATCTCATTCCAGGGGTATTTCATTGAAATTGAAAGCTGTGCCCAGGTGCTCCTCTCAGGAACTCAGCAAACAGGACATTAGGGAAGCACAGTTCAGTGCACTGCAGAGGGAATGCTTTAATTCATCCAAAGGGAAACATGACTGGCTGAATTTCCTTTTCCTTTTCCTTTTCCTTTTCCTTTTCCTTTTCCTTTTCCTTTTCCTTTTCCTTTTCCTTTTCCTTTTCCTTTTCCTTTTCCTTTTCCTTTTCCTTTTCCTTTTCCTTTTCCTTTTCCTTTTCCTTTCCCTTTCCCTTTCCCTTTCCCTTTCCCTTTCCCTTTCCCTTTCCCTTTCCCTTCCCATGTCTTGGCCTTTTGAAAGTAAAGAGGAAAAAGAAAAAAAGAAGGTATTAAAATCACAAAGGACTATTCCCAAAATCTTTGTTGCATCCCTGCTCGTGCTGTGGAAAACCTTCTGTGCTGGATGTGGAGCAGAGCAGGAGGGAGGTGCCTCCAGCAGGGCAGAATCTGCATTTTGAAGGGAAATCCAGGAGGTTCTGTGCTGTGCAGGACAAGTTCAGTACAGAGACAACAAATAAATGGCCAGAAATGGAACATTATCCAGGATTTCAGGTGGTGGATGTGGCCCTGCCATCCCCTCTGTCTGGGAAGAGCACACCTGCTCCAGCTGCCCTTCCCAGGCTGCAGAGCCCTTCAGGAGCCCAGGAATGCTGGAATGATTCTGTGCAGTGGCGCAGAAGCTGCAGGTGAACTGCAGCTGCTCTTTCACAGCCTCTTTTTTTATCAAAGCTTTCACAGAGCCCTTTGGGAGCCAGAAGCCCATCACAGAAATTGCTTGGATTCAAATGCAGAAAAACCTGAATTATTTTATATTTTCCTTTGGACTTATGAACCAACTCGAGCCTTGTTCCTGTCTGTATCTTGAGACTGGTTGGATCTCTTTTTATTGTGCACACAGCTGGCTCAGGCGCTGGCTGAGGAGATCTTCTCCACATTTACTGGAAGTGATATGTTTGCATCAATAAACCTGTGGGTAAGCACAGGGACCATGCATTTGCATCCTCTACAGCCCAGATTCCCTGCCAGGGAGCCCCTCCAGCAGGAATTCAGAGCACCTCATTTAGAGGTGCTGGAAAGAGGCTGAAATAAACGGTGCAAAACCCAAATTCCTCCAGTGTTTACTGCCCCAAGGCTGGAGCTGCAACAAACTGTAGAGTTCTTGGCCACTGTCAAAGCCACCAGCTCCTGGACACCAAAAATATCCTGATATTCAGACCCAGGGCATGATTAACAAGTACAATTTATCCCTGGATTTAAAGGAAAGGGCTTAAAACCCAGCCGAGAATTGCAGCATTTTGCACCCCCCAGAAGTGATTATGCAAAATTCAGTTCTTTAGGAGTCAGGTTTGCTCACACCATGCAGGACATGGGATTTACTCCACACCCTCACCCCCTTTCTGGAGCAACATCCAGGCTGGCTCAGAATAAAATTTCATAAAAGAAATTTCATTCTTGGCCTAAGACTTGGCACAAGGAGTCCCAGCCCAGAATAGATTTTTACGGGAAGTTAAAAACCTTTGGGAAAAAAAAAAAAAAAAACAACCCAAGCTTTAAAGTGAAGCATCAAGAGAGTCTCAACAAGAGCCGTGGCAGCAGTTCAGTGTACAATATATACATTGTGTCCAATGCATATAGAACGCCATAATTACACCCAGATGGGTACAAACATAGATTCACTCTGGCCATGAGTAATACCTCATGATTGCAGAAAAAAAGAAGCCAAATGCCTATTTGAAATCAGCAGAGTTTGAGGGGGGGAAAATGTGACCTCTCCCTGATGGGGATGTGACAGAAAATAAGAATTTTTTGTCAGCACCACTGTCGCGTGTGACATCACCCCCTGATCCTGCAGCCACTTGCCCACATCCAGCTGTGCTCCCTTCCCAGTGGTTTTCCTGGTTGGATTATGAAATATGATTTCCTGCTTTTAAAAAGCTCCTGGCTGGCTCTGCACTGCAGCACACTCCAGATATCCACGTCAGTTAAAGGAAGAGATGTTTCCTGCTGCCATCCCAAT